GGGAACATCAACAATCCCTGTTGTAGTTGGAGACCTAGGACTGGTTGGAAAAGATTGCAGTGGACTAATTGAAGGGATTCCTGGAAGTCCATGCCTCAAGAAGATACAAAAAATTGTTCTGACAAATACAGCCCACAATTTACGAAGGGCTTTATCTATGTAATTTTTTTTTTTGTCAGTGGAAAGTGTCATGATGCCATTTCTAACCTTAGGTCCCTGGGCGGGACCCGGAAAGAAATGTTTAAACGCCAGAAATCAAAGAAAATAAAAATGATAATAATAATAATAACCTGCTAGCCACTAAAAGAAAATTTTCACTCAAAGAGAAGGAAGACAAAAAGCAGAGCATTGCTAGGTTAGCACACTTGTAGCAATATAGGGGGAAAATAATAATAATGTTTTTCTTATTGACATAAACCTGTCGATTGTAATGTATCTTTGAAGATATTCTTGAAGACAGGATCTTGAAGGGGAAATCTAAAAAATGTGGCACATGAAGACATCAATAATTCCAGTTGTAGCCCTCCATCTGATTGGAAAATGTCCTGATAGACTTGCTGTAGCCCAAACCTTAAAGAAATACAAAAGATTGTCCTCATAGGTACAGCTAACACGTTACGAAGGTCTTTATCTGTGTAAAATTTTGAGTGATCTTAGTGTTTTTCATTTCTTTACAAAAACGCTCAGTGAAAAATGTCAAGAACCGATTTCTGACCTTAGGGACGCTTGGGATGGAAATTAGTAGACAATAATAATAATAATAATAATAAAAATAATAATAATAATAATAATTATGATAATAATAATAATGATAATGATAATTATGATGATAATAATAATAATAATTATGATAATAATAATAATAATAATAATTATGATAATAATAATAATAATACCGATGTAACTATCCTCAGGGACATGCCAATTCAAACTGACAGGAAAATAAAAGCCAACAGAACAGATATTATCATAAAAGACAAGAAATTCAGAAAGTGTATTCTTATTGAGAGAAACAATTCCATGAAAATTATCGAAAATTGTCCAAATAAACGCACCTGGAGATCAAGATTAACAGGATGTGGGGAATGAAGACTGAGACGCTACAAATAGTAATCCGGTCTCTGGGCCTCGTGAGAAAAGGAATGGACAAATTTAATATACGTGTCTCAGGTAACATTAACATTCAGATCGCCCTACTAGGAACATCCCATATACTAAGAAAATGCTATCAATTAAATGACAATTCTCTTCCAGGGCCTATAGACCATACTTTGGACCAGGCTCTACGGGATACAAATCAGGAAACATAACATAAATAATAATAATAATAATAAAATCTAAAAAATGTGGCATATGGGAACATCAAAAATCCCTGTTGTAGTTGGAGCCCTAGGACTTGTTGGAAAACATTCCAAAAGACTAATTGAAGGGATTCCTGGAAGTCCATGCCTTAAAGAGATACAAAAATTGTTCTGACGAGTACAGCCCACACTTTACGAAGGGCTTTGTCGATGTAATTTTTTATTTTTATTTTCTTTGTCAGTGGAAAGTGTAATGATTCTATTTCTAACCTAAGGTCCCTGGGCGGGACCCGGAAAGAAATGTGTAAATCCCAGAAATCAAAGAAAATAAAAATAATAATAATAATCTACTAAGTGTCCCAGGTAACTTCAACATACAAGTTGCCCAGAAGATCGTCCTCATAGAAAGATACCATATACTAAGAAATGTGTTATCAGGAAAATGACAATTCTTTTGTACTGCCTAAGGATCACAGTTTGGAACCGGTTTTAAAGGACACGAAGAAGGAAACATCACACACACATGAGATAATAATAATAATAATAATAATAATAATAATAATTTACTAAGTGTCCCGGGTATATATAACGGCTGGCGGCTTTTTCCGAGTACATCAATCTTCTATTTTTTAATTAATCATTTCATCCCATGCAAGGGAATAAAACCACTAGGATGCAAGGAGACAGAAGATAACGATAGACATTGCATTTAAATTTTGGAAGATCAAAGGCAATAAAGCCACTAGGATGCAAGGGGTTACTAAGTGTTAGAGAATATAAGAAAAACTACTATTAATGAGAGAGGACAATAAAAGAACTGTAATTAAGAAGACAGAAGATAACGATTGACATTGCATTTAAATTTTTGAAGATCAAAGGCAATAAAGCCACTAGGAAGCAAGGGGTTACTTAATGTTAGAGAATATGAAAAAAACTATTATTAATGAGTGAGGGCAATAAAAGAACTGCAGTTAAGAAGACAAAAGATAACGATTGACATTGCATTCATATGTTTGAAGATCAAAGGCAATAAAGCCACTAGGATGCAAGGGGTTACCGAGTGATAGAGAATATAAGAAAAACTACGATGTCATTACTAACCCACATATGTAAATTTGATCTGTGGGGTGGAGAATAGAATACAACATTTAAAATGGAAAAACCCAATGAATGGTAGACTTATAAATATGTAAGATAGTACAAAAAAGGCATCTCCTTAAATAGTTATTTAGTTAGCAATGTAAATATTTCTGGACAGAGGAAATTGTGAAGTTGCCTGAAAAATGGCAGAAAGAACTTGAATAAAATGGTTAACATATTGTTCCAGATAATAAAGACGACACCTCTTTGATAAATCGACTATGATGAGATTCGAAACCGTGTCCCGAAGCCGAAACAAAATGGTTAAGGTTCGGAAATAATTATCTTTTATTTTTGCTTAATAAACCGAATGAAACTTCAGTGTTCTACAGTTTCCGTTTAGAAAAATTAAATATATATCCATATCCTTTGAGCATACATGGGTAACTATATATTATTAGGTTTATAAAAAAAATAAAAATTTATTGAATCAAAGAAATGAAATAGCTATTTTTGCCGACATTGTCAAAAATTTTCCTTAAATAATATTTTAAAAAAAAATAAAGAGATGGAAATATATATACTTATATATGATATTTAATAATAAATCTAAAATAATTTAAGTAATTCTATTACATCTATTTGTTTTAATTAAAAGTAAAAATAATATTGTAAAATTGTAGTTCAATACAACGTATTCTAATCCAAACACCCCTTTTAGAAAGAATCTTTATGTATACAAATACAAATTTAAACTTTTTGTCGTTGAAAAAAAAACCCAAAAAACAGACGGCATTCGTTGAACGGATGTCATAATTCGTTGAAAAAGGAACCCCTACCTAGACTTAAACTTTTTTCGAAAGTAACTCATATTTAATACAATAGTTGTTAATAAAAATGAACACACTACCACCCCTGTCTAAATGTTTGGATTTCCTTGGAAACAAATATTATGAATGTATGTGCTTTTAAAACTCAGTAAATTTCAAAATAATTTATTCCAAAATTCGCCTGTGATTTTGAATTAATTGTATAATTGAATTTGAAATTTTTACTTACTGTTTTTGAAACAATAGTAATTCCTGTGTAGCGATGGAACCATATTTTTAAATCAGTTATTTTATAATATATATATATATGTATATAAATAAAAAGAAAGAACAGTAAGATATATAATCCGGTGTTCTTATAGATATTTTTATTTTTACAAAATAGTGCTCAATGTAAATTTACAGAGCATAATATTATAAATTAATTGATTTAAAATGGAAAATTCGCTTGAGGATGAAATGGAACTAATGCTTTTAATTTAATTGCAAAATTAAATTCGGGGCTTTTAGCTTCTATTTTGAAACATGGTTAGAACTGTGTAGCGGAAAAAAAACCATATTTTAAATCAATTAATTTATAATATATATATATATATATATATATATATATATATATATATATATATACGTTTTCCAAATATATATATATATATATATATATATATATATATATATATATATATATATATATACGTTTTCCAAATTAGTTTACTGAGAAATAGTGAACTCAGAATTAGTGTACTCAGAATCGAAGTATGTAATTGTTAAATGTTCTTAATTCTTCAAAATAAATAAAAAAAGAGAAAAACGGAATTATAAAATCATTTAAGTGCACCTGAATAAACGGAATATTTTTAATGTGAGCTAGGGGAAGACTCCGTGCGCCAAATTACGTAGTCACCGGCTAAAATGCCCCTCCTTACTGCTGCTCTCAGCTAACAGAATCTTTTACAGATGTTATAAAATGCAATTTCCAAAAACTTAAAAAAAGTAAAAAAAAAAAAAAAAAAAATAAGAGAGGGTGATGAAAAGTCCCTCACCCTCGGCTTCCTATGTCTGGAGTCTGCTTTCTCCTCCAAGCGTTCTCCAGGGATATTACTAGCCGAGTTTGAAAATAAAAACACGAGTTTCAGTTTCAAAAAGTCACATCGCTTAACTTTGAAACCCTATTACTTCTGTGCTTTACATATAAAAGAAAAGTGAGATTGAAAAACGACAACACAAAAGTAACAATCAAAGAAAGAAAAACAAAGAAAAAAATATATATATAGACGAGAAATATTTTTTAAATCATCGAAAGAAAAAAAAAAACATAAGTCGGAAGATAGTTGTGTTATGTCAAAGTTAAAATCTACAAAGAAATAAATAGACGAACGGACAACAGAAAAGAAAGGATGAAATCAAATATGGCGCTCAATTGAAATTTCAACCGGTTTATGAATGTGAGTCTTGATAGTCAAAATATCGTATCATAAAATGGAAACAAACAAGACGACTTTTGTTTTGTTTTTATTTTTGTGTTTTTCTTTTTCCTTTGTTTTGCGTCTTGGAGATTTTATGTTTCATGTGTTGTTTGTAGAAAACACAAATAAGAGGAAAGAAAATGAAGATTAGTAAAGAGAAGGTAGAATATGGAAAGATGAATTGAAAAATAGACAGATATGAACAGACTGAAAAAGATAGATTAAAATACATACATAGATAAATAGATAGATAGATAAATAGATAGGTAGATAGAAACAGACTGAGATAATGTACAAGACAGATAAAGAGATATATAGAAACAGACTTAGATAGATAGATAGATAGATAGATAGATAGATGTACAAGACAGAGATAGATATAAACAGACTGCAATAGATAATACACAAGACTGAGATAGATGTAAAAAGACTGAGATAGATAGATATGAACAGACTAAAAAAGAGACTGAAATAGATAGATAGATAGATAGATAATGTACAAGATAGATAAAGATATAGATAGCAACAGACTGAGATAGATAGATAGATAGATAATGTACAAGACTGAGCTAGCTAGCTAGGTATATAGATAGAAACAAACTGAGATAGATAAATGTACAAGATAGAGATAGATATAAACAGACTAGATAGATAGATAGATAGATAGATAGATAGATAGATAGATAGATAGAAACAGACTGAGCTAGCTAGCAAAATAGATAATGTACAAGACTGAGCTGGCTAGCTAGATGGATAGATAGATAGAAAAAAACTGAGAAAGATAGATACATGTATTAGTCTGAGATAGAAAAAATATAAACAGACTGAGATAGATAGATAGATAGATATGAACAGACTGAGATATATATATATATATATATATATATATATATAGATAGATAGATAGATAGATAGATAGATATAAACAGACTTGAAACAGACATGCATACAGGCAGATAGTTAGACAATTATAAACAAAATGAAACAAGGGATAGATAGATAGATAGATAAATAGATAGATATATAGATAGATAAGAACATACTAAGCTACTCCACCCACTCATCTTTTTTACGTTTTTTTTCTTTCGCAAGTGTTTATTCTCAATAAAGGAATTCCATCGATAAAAAAACTTCTTGCATGGTTGTTGCTCGGGGTTAAATTGTTTCAATGATTTAGATATTCAGTAAGTTTCCTAAGGTTGTAATGACTTTCAAATAGTATGACATTGGTCACAAATTTAATAATCAAACACGTTTGCTGTAAAGCAGGGGTTAATAAGAGGTCCTTCTGGGATTTTCTCTTTTAATGCTTCAATAACCCTTCTCAAACAATCTTTGAATCAAATGTTGTTCGAATGCCAATTTAGGATGGAATCATATGTAGAAACTATTGGCTAAATGGCAAAAGCCAATTTTGGAACTAGTTTGTCTCAGATTTCATCCACTTAACTGGAATAATCTAAACCAAACATTCACACAAGGCAAAGCATTGGATTAAAAACCAGGGAGTTATGGCCCAAAAACGAACTTTTTGAAGAGGTTTTCGTGCTTTTTCATTATACGCAGGGAAGCGAGCCGGACTAAAACCGCACTTATTTCTTGCATGATAGCAATTTTTTGGTGGCATGCTTGAAGAAAATGGGTTAAAAATGAGGAATTTATTCGAGTTTTTATTTTAAGTAGTACGAAAAACCCGATTTTTCACATTTTCTTGCAATTTTTTTGTGTGTGAAGGTAATGTCGCAAGAAAACTATCAAGCACTCTACATAAACCTCGTAACATGAGCGGATGTTTTGCATCAAGTGTAAAGGACGTCCGTTCATCCAGTACAAATATTCTTCGCGTCTAACTTTGCCTTGGTTTTTGGAAAAAGGTCGTACCCACCTTCAGTTTTATCACGTTTTCTGTCAAATCCGGTGGGTGGGGACCTGTAGATTGAAAAGTTGATCTTGACGTAACAAAATATATTTGCAACATATCTGGACAATTTCATCAATATTGGTCAAGAATTGTAGACGTGCATAAATAGCACACACACACACACACACACACACACACACACACACACACACACACACACACACACAGACATCTTCTGTTTTATATATATATATATATATGTAAGCAAATATATGGATATAGTATGAAGAAAAATATACGGAAAAACAAACAAAAATCATAATATGCAATTATGCTGTTTTAATGTTAATATTAGGTTGGTGCAAAAATAATGACGTAATAATGTCGTTTTTTTAACGTCAAAAACGACATTATTACGTCATTTTTGCACCAACCTAATATAATGTCAACGTCGGACGTTTCGGTCTAGTTTTGATCAGTCTTACTCTTATGTCCATCGTCTTTTCATGTTGAATTAAATATAGTCTAATGTTAATTATGTCTTATGAATATGTCCTGAAGATTGTCTATTAGATGGTCTACACCTTTAACACGAAATATTAACTACAATTTTCCCGCCCCTCTTTGTCGTCTGCTACACCCTTAATCTTTTAAAACATATCCATCTAAAAACTTTATCTGTTACCATATTGTGCTTATATTCAACAACTCTTGAGTTTCCGGATTTTTCTTACATGTGTGCTTCCGACTTTCCCTCTTGTTGCTCGACTGAATAGATGTAAACGTACAACTAGTTCTCACTATTTTACAATCAAACAGTTTGATGAAACCGTAAGTTCTATTCTGGTAGTTTCTTCTCTTGCACTTCTCACTTGTGGAAATCCCTTCCAGCTTCTTGCTTTCCAGTCAACGTTGGTCTTCAAAAATGCAATGTTAATCGTTATTTTCTGTCTTCCTAATTCTTGATCTTTTATTATGGCCCAGTGGATAAAGTCATTAGTTAGATCCAGTGGCTAGACCCAAAGAATTGTGAGTTCAATACCAGGCCACAGCAGTGATGAGCCAAAAATTTGGAGAGTTGAATTAAAGGGAAATAACTTTGATATTTAATTGCAATGGCAATCGTTATCTACTGTCTTCTATTGCTTTCGCTCTGTTTCTGATTTCTAAATTGGTCCACTTCCAGTAACCGCTTGTGTCTTAGTGGCTTTATTGCCTTGCTTGGGGTAATTCCGGGTAAAAAACTGTGAAACTGTTGGGTTCCAATGATCGATCGGTGATCATAAATTCATGGTAATATGCAAATATCTAAGTAGTAAATGTTTGATCGTATTAATATGTGTGTAAGTTGCATTAGCAAGTGATTGTAGGTACATATTAGCTTGTTTTTTTTTTACATTAAAAACAGCGACACCCTTTCTAATTAAAGAAAGATGGCGGTTGTGAGGTTGAAGTGGCAAATGACTCAATGAGGGATGGGAATTTGCCGAGACAAAGATCCAACCATCCCAATACCATGCTACTAATTGGAATTGTTTTAATTGGGAAGAAAACCAGAGGATCACATAAGAGAGATGGATAGATAATGAACACAGATAGCTAGCTAGCTAGCTAGCTAGATAGATAGATAATGGACAGACTGAGAATGATAGATAGATAGATAGATAGATAGATAGATAGATAGATAGATAATGAACATAGATAGATAGATAGATAGATAGATAGATAGATAGATAGATAGATAGATAGATAGATAATGGACAGACTGAGAATAACTGATAGATAGATAGATAGATAGATAGATAATGAACATAGATAGATAGATAGATAGATAGATAGATAGATAGATAATGGACAGATTGAGAATAACTGATAGATAGATAGATAGATAGATAATGAACATAGATAGATAGATAGATAGATAGATAGAATAGATAGATAGATAATGGACAGACTGAGAATAACTGATAGATAGATAGATAGATAGATAGATAGATAGATAGATAATGAACAAACTGAGAATGTTTGATAGATAGATAGATAGATAGATAGATAGATAGATAGATAGATAATGAACAGACTGAGAATGACTGATAGATAGATAGATAGATAGATAGATAGATAGATAATGAACAGAGATAGATAGATAGATAGATAGATAGATAGATAGATAGATAATGAACATAGATAGATAGATAGATAGATAGATAGATAATGGACAGATTGAGAATAACTGATAGATAGATAGATAGATAGATAATGAACATAGATAGATAGATAGATAGATAGATAGATAGATAGATAATGGACAGACTGAGAATAACTGATAGATAGATAGATAGATAATGAACAAACTGAGAATGTTTGATAGATAGATAGATAGATAGATAGATAGATAGATAGATAGATAATGGACAGACTGAGAATAACTGATAGATAGATAGATAGATAGATAGATAGATAGATAGATAGATAGATAGATAATGAACACAGATAGATAGATAGATAGATAGATAGATAGATAGATAGATAGATAGATAATGGGCAGACTGAGAATGACTCATAGATAGATAGATAGATAGATAGATAGATAATGAACAGACTGGGAATGTTAGATAGATAGATAGATAGATAATGGACAGACTGAGAATGACTGATAGATAGATAGATAGATAGATAATGAACACAGATAGATAGATAGATAGATAGATAGATAGATAGATAGATAGGATAGATAATGGACAGACGGAGAATGACTGATAGATAGATAGATAGATAGATAGATAGATAGATAGATAGATAGATAATGGACAGACTGAGAATGACTGATAGATAGATAGATAGATAGATAGATAGATAGATAGATAGATAGATAGATAGATAGATCCCATCTCGCTACAAAATGTGAAGTTTAAAGTGGGTTAACGGCAAAATCGTGAAAAGTTTCCTTACCTCTCTCGGCACCTTCCCTTTTAAGTACGCCTCAGTGAAGGGTGATAAATCCAGTCCCTACCTTGTGAAGAAGGTACCGCCTGTGGGCAGTAAGAACACACAAATTAGACAATAAATATGAAAGGAACATTGGTGTGTCTCGGTAGGCGATGCAAAATTAAGAAATTGGACTTACGTCAGTTTTAAAACTGGGGTGTTGGTGCAGTACGCAGAGTATTAAGAAATAAACCCAAATTGAAAGGACGTATACCGTCCTGGGTAAGACGTTAAACTACATCCGCATCCTGGGTAAGATGATAAACTACACCAGCATCCTGGGTATGACTATAAACTACATCCGCGTCCTGGGTATGACTATAAACTATATCCGCGTCATGGGTATGACGATAAACTACGTCCAGCAGCAAGGCCTCTGATCAGGAGGTTTTGAGGAGCGTGGAATCACCTCTTAATTGCTGCTGTTCCCAGGTCCACACTGACCCGGGGTAGTAGTACTTGTTAGGGTCCCAGCTATGGGCAAATAGTCAACTATTAGCAACAACACTTGTTTGAAAAAAATATTACCAGCAATACAATTTTGAAAGAAAAATATCAGAAACAGATTTTTGAGAAAACAAAATATTCCCAGCATAAACAAAAACAAAAAAAAAATGTCGGCATTAAATAACCCATTGAGGTTGATATGCCTTAAAACAAAATAATCCAAACCAATCTAAACCAAAGAATACATATTCTATTCATACATATATATTCTAAAAATGTTGTCGGCATTAAATAACCCATTGAGGTTGATATGCCATAAAACAAAATAAACCAAACCAATCTAAACCAAAGAATACATATTCTATTCGTACGAATCTATCCTAAAAATGTTGTTGTCATTAAATAACCCATTGATGTTGATCTACTGTAAAACAAAATAATCCAAACCAATCTAAACCAAAGAATACATATTCTATTCATACATATATATTCTAAAAATGTTGTCGGCATTAAATAACCCATTGAGGTTGATATACCATAAAACAAAATAAACCAAACCAATCTAAACCAAAGAATACATATTCTGTTCATACGAATCTATCCTAAAAATGTCGGCATTAAACTACCCATTGAGGTTGATATACCGTAAAACAAAATAAACCAAACCAAATCAAAGGACGTATAACAGCAAAAAAAGAAAACAAAACAAACATTATTAACTAAAAAAAAAACCCAATGAGATAGA